TCCCTTCTTCCCCCAACCCTTTAGAATTCTTTATTCTGCAAATGAAAATTTCTCTTCCCATTACCTCTGAAAAGAGCTTATTATGCAGCTGCGCTATAGCAGACCTGAGTTCCCCTGTTTTGAGGAAATGAGAAGAAGAAAACAATCAGATTTATAGAAGCAAGTACTGAGAAAGAGTCATTCTCTCCACAGCAATGAGTCAGCAGAGCATCTCTGATTTATCTGGAATATGATCCAATTTTTCAAAATACATATTTTCACAAATACATAGGAACGACCCTATTCAAACTTAATTCATACAAAACTTCCCTTGACAATCAAGAGACTTAGAGGTAAAGTCATTTCCTGGGCTATTTATTTAATGAACTTATTGTGTCCAAGATCCCTAACCTCACGACATGCTTAGTGCAAAAAACAGACCCAATATACCTCTAATTATAAAGGTAAGTGTTACAATAGAGGAAAGGAAAAATGCTGTGAGTAAGCAAATGGCAGAGTTCTAAGCTTGATCTCAGGCCTTGGTTCCAACATCTGTTCCTCTGGGAATCCTTTTCCATTGTCCTGGCCAGTGTGGTCCTCCTGCCCCACCTCATTACCACTTCACTTACAGCCCTGCAGCTGGAACCATCATCTGTGTGTGTGTGTGTGTGTGTGTGTGTGTGTGTGTGTGTTCACTCTCTCTCTCTCCCTCTAGAATGTGAGCATTCTAGAACTGTACCCCCAGCACATGAAACAACAACAACTATGCTCTCAATTGACAACAGTTTGAGACCAATGCCCCTGGGGTCTGGGAAGAGATTTCATAGAAAGATGATATTTGAAGAGGGTCTTGGATCTAGGAGGATCTAGGAGTCTGCCAGGTAGAAAAGGTTTTGCAGACTGATGATTCAGTGTTAAACTGCTATATCCAATCATCATGCTTGCCTTACATAAATGTGTACTGCTTTTGACTACTATGTGCAAATACCTTACATCTCATGGGTTTATGCTGCCTTCCTCACTATAACAAGTTCCAAGAGCTCAGTTTCTATTATTACTCTAAAAATCTATCATTCAAGGGGTTAAAACCTATAATCTGAGTTCTTATGCATTTTTACTTAAATGTAACTTAAAAATGTAACTTAATTTTTACTTAAATGTAAACTCATTTTTACTTAAACATAACTGTCACCATATTTTGGGTTAACACCTTCAAAGAGATTGAATAAGCAAAGAGATTCAATAAACTAGGCTTAGTAGGAGAAACTCGAAAACTTCAAATGCTTGATTTTCTTAAAACTTTATTTTTCTTAAATTCAAGTTAATTCGAGCTAATTTTCAAGTTAACTTAATGGAAGACTGGAAGTATCACCTGTCAAAATAATCAAAATTCTCTCACATGCCAAAAAATCCAATCAGTTTATTTATTGGTGACTGAGGAGTAAAAGGTATAAACAACATAAAATATCACTTTGGAATGAAAGAGGCAGAGACGGGTAGCTCTTAATTTTTTGGCTCCTGTCAAACACTGCATCAGAGCCATATACCCACTCCCTGCTGTGTAGGACATTTGCAACTTTGTCAATTTTCCGGAAGATAGGTGATGGGTTGTGGGAAGGGAAAGGCAGCCCAGGCCATCAGACACTCAATGAATAACCACTTAGGCAGGGGAAGGGTATATACTTTTAGACCAGAAAGGATCTAACTTAGGTGATCTGCCAACCTCTCTTTCAACAGAAAAGGTCACTAAGGCTGAGAACAGAGGTGAATTTTTCTCAAATCCACAGAACCTAGAGACCCCAACTTGGTCACACATTGTTTCTACCGTCCTTGGGCATCTCTCTTTGGGACATCAAAATAATTATAGCTCAAATGTTCTGAAGAAGAGAACACTCATGGAAAAAAAAAACTAAGACCAAGAGTTCTGACTGAGAACTTAGGAACGTGCCATCCAGACATCTTCAGCTGTCTATCAGAGATGTGACACAGTTGGCTGGCTCATGGTTTCAGACAGCTCAACCTGACTTTCCCAGTACTGACTGTTATGACTCACAGTCCTCCTTTGAGAGAAGGTCCCCATCCAGTTGTAAAGACTAAACAGGATTACAGGGATGCACAGCACTAACTCATTGAAATTAATGCAGCAAGGGGAGCTAAAACAATAGGCTCAAAATGCCTGCTGGTTTAGTGTAGTGCAGGAGTACCAGCCTACACCTGAACAGCTTTTGGTCTCCAGAGACTCTCAAGGGCAGAAGAAAAAAATCTGGGCCATGCAAATTTCTTTTGTCACCTGAGTTCAAAGGGACTGAGGCTCTGAGTGAGTGTTCATGCCTAGCTATCTTGTGTCATCACTTTCTATTCTCCACTGAAAACATTTTAGAAAAACAACGTTTTGGGAAAAACAGTATCTCCTAAACTACAAATTTCATGGAATGGAAGAGGCAAGTGAGAGATCAGCTGAACATAATGGTGTAAAAAATACTATCAGAGAATCTTCATTAAAAATGATGAACTAAGATGAAATAGTCAATTTTGACAACATGGGAAATACCACAGACCTCTTTTTTTTAACTGATGCAAAGAATAACTTCACAGGTAGCTGGTTAGTTCTTCTGCATGATAAATCTGAACATTCAAGTACACAATTTTAACTAAAAGTTGAAACTAAATTCTTGAATAGTTGATAGTAAACACTGATGGTTCTTTTCTTAAAAACTGCCTAGAAACAGGGTATTCCACTCATTTTGTGGGAAATTCAAGACTTAGACAAAGATCTGTTGTCAGAGAGAATGCCACTAGGACAAAAGAAGTGCTCAAATTTTCTTCTTTTACAGTATTTGTAGTATATTTAATAAAATGTAATTTTATTATATTTGAAGCAAGTGGGCAATTGGCTATACTAGGGAAACATTTCCATGGTGCAAATATTTGTGTTCTATCATTATTTTTCATATTGTGGTGTAATTTGGACTCTACATATGCTTATGGTTCCCCCTACTCCACAAATCAGTGAATGAATGATTCAAAGGATATTTATCAACCTTCAATTTATAGTTGAACCTACAGTTTGAGAATTAGACTCAGCGGACCATGCACCACTTGGGCAATAACAAACTCAATGTACAATACGTGCTCTCACTTAATATGCATAATGGACACCTTGACCACCTTCCCTAGGATCATGTTCACCTCTGGAGTACATTCATTTCATGTAGCAAATACACTGTTAAAATTACTTCTGAGAAGGACATTAAAACTACTGTCCCTCCTCAGACCACACCAGGCACAGTATCCCAAGGGCATGTGAGTAATGAGTGTTTAAGTAAAAAAGGCATTGCCTTGATCCTTCCACAGGGCTACTAATCTAGCTTTGGGTCAATCAGAAAATTCGTTACTCAGTTTTGAAATATCTAGGCAAATGTAGCTTTTAAGTATGTAACAGGATAAAGCAATAAAGCCCTTTTAACAATGTGTCTTCATTTTACTTATACTCCTCTGGTTGTCATCTCCTCCTCCGGATACCTTTAAAACCAAAATACTCAAGTGAGCAGGAGAATTTGTGAAGTCACACACACACACACACACACACTCACACTCTCTCTCTTCTCTTCTCTCTCTCTCTCCTCTCTCTCTCTCTCTCTCTCTCTCTCTCTCAAAAGACAACTTAGTTTTGGCTGGGTCCTCATCTAGCCAGGGCAGGGAAGACTTTTGGTAACAGTGACTAAATAGAATCCCAACCACTTTCAGGACTCCGCAGTGTGGCTACATCAATTTATTAAAAGTGAATTGTAGATGAAAGGGCATATACTGCAGGTCCTATATGACAAGGCATGTTGCTTAAGTTTCCCCATGTGTAAAATGGACAGTGTCTTCAGAACATAAGAACATGATGTGCTAATATAAGAAAAATAGTTGGCTTCAAGTTCAGTTTCCTTCCCCTGCCAAGCCAACATTGCTATGACTACCATAGCAATATGTGCCATTTGCATTAAGAAAGATGCATGAGAGCAGACTGTATATAAACACACAGTCAGCACATACTTGGGTTCTGTCTGATCTTTTTGGGTGGTGTTTAGTTCTGGATATAGGTTCTTAACTACTAGTAATGCTTTCTTTCCCTGAAGTAAAAGAGTAAATACTGCAGGAATTCAAGGATGACACAACACACAGCCAAGCAGTCCCTTCGAGTCAAGCATGGTTGACACCCTAGGCCTAATTTATAAGGGGCCCCAACTGCTGCTTCCAATGGCCTTTGTCACCCTAACTAGCTACTTTCAGTAGGGGAGGATGCAGGAGAGATTGACCTTGATTCACCTCATTACCAAGCAAACGTGGAAAACCCTTTAGCACAACGGTTCTCAATCTCTGCAGCACATTCAAATCTCCTGAGGAGCTTTGAAAACTCCAGATGCCCCGACCACACGCCAACTCAATTACATCCAAGTATCCGGGGATGGGACCCAGACACCCATATTTCTTAAAGTCCCCAGTGATGCAAGATGCAACCAAGATTGAGAACCACTGTCTTGGATCGCCCCTCCTGACCTCATGGAACTTCTGCTGCAAGGCAAGCCAACAAAGCCAACCTAGAGTGTTTCACAACCACGGCTTCTGAGTAGAGCAGGTGCAACAGGGTCCTGAACGCTGAAACACAGGTGCCGGCACTGAGCTCCACACAGAGGGCTGAACAGACAGCTTATGAGCCAGAGGGTTACCCAGATCCTCACGTGAGGCTTTGCGCTTCAAAAAGGCAAAAAACAAAAACAAGTCCGCCAATCTTAAGAGATGTCACCAAATCCCGTTAGGATTTCTTTCTTTCTTTTCTAAGGCAAATCTTTTGGGAAGGACAGAGTATAAGTGGAAGCGCGCCCCACCCATAGAGCCTGCGGAAAAGAAGACAGAACCGCACAACTCCTGCGGCCGCCTAGAAAACCCCCCGCAGGCTCCCCCAGCGCCGGGAGAGCGCGTGCACCTGTCGGCACGCTGGGCCGCACCTGCCGCGCCGGGCCCTTCCCTCCTACCTTCCAGCAGCTCGTCCAGGCTGGTGACCTTCCGGCTGCCGTCGATGGTGTAGATGGTGCGGACACCCTGGGGCAGGTTCACGTTGTCCGACAGGGAGCGGGTGAGCTCCATAAGCAGCGCATCGAAGGACCGGAAGCGGTCGCCGGAGATGGCAAACACCAGTCCCTTGAAGTAGCGGTCCCCATTCCGGTAGAAGCGCGCCTTCTTGGCCTTCTTCTCCGAGCTCAGGGCCTGCAGGGTCCGCGTACGGTAGAAGCTGCAGTGGGCACTGTGCGCCGGGCTGGGGATGAGCCCGTTCCCCTTGGGGCCGGAGCTGCTGCTGCCCCCGGAGGAGCTGGGCGCCCCTCTCCGCGACCCCGGCCGCGGCCTTTTGTCCCGTTCCTCAAAGTGCTCCAGCTCGATACTCCTGGTGCTGGTCATCGCGGCTGCTCTAGGGGCGCCCCCACGAAACACGTCCCAGCCCAAGCTTGCAGGTAGCCCAGGGTCAAGGCGAGCACCGGCTCAGGGACGTCTAACTGCGAGCAGCCTCAGAGCGCCGGGACACCCAGCTCTGGCATCCCGCCGTCTCCTCGCAGGTGGAGCCGCGGAGGCGCCGGCCGGCCCGCGCCCCCCTAAAAGTGGCCGCAGCGCCGAGCTTCCCAGCTCATTGTCCGGCGCGCCTCGCTCTGTCCCTCCCGCTCGCCGGGGAGCCCCACGCCCCCCCAGGCGCCTCCTCCACCCGGCCACGCCTCACAACTCCCTCCCGGGAGCCTGCCGGCCGCCGCCAAGTTGGGCCGCCCGAAGCTCGCCCCGGGCC